TTTATGGGAGAAAAATACCAGGTTTAGTCTGATTCACTGTCCTCACCAGAACTAAAGTAATGCTGGTTTCTTGGAAATGAGTGCTTTGGAAGTTTATTTTCATGATGTGCTCAGAGTGTGCCATAGCATGTGTCTCCTGTGCATCTGTGTGGAAGTTCCTTGTGTATATCCTTCCCCAGCCTTCCCTTCCCCTTCTCCAGGGCCTTGCTTGTGCCAGGCAAGTACTCAGCCGCTGAGCTATAACCCAATCTCTTGGCAGTCACCCTTTTGCTTCCACTTGCTAGAATATTTACTCAATCTTCTCCTTTCGAATTCATCCCATGCATTCCCTGCTGTGTCATGCTTCCCAGAGCCACACCCAGCTCAACATGGGTAAGTTTTTGGACTTGATAGTGTGGCAACCAAATCAAATTAAGATTCCCTTTTGTGTAGCTATTTTTACAATATTCTTTGAGATGTCCAGTCCCATTGAAGTACACAGATTTAGTGTATCACTGCTGTACTTTTAAAACATACAGGGACCAATGAGATGATGCTGTCTCCAGTTCTGCACGAGAACTGAGGCAGGTGTTTGATAGGATGCCCCAGAACTGATGTCAGCCTGAGGAGTGGGAGATACAAAAGATGCCACCTATAAGCTCTTGGCAACTGTGTTCCCTTTCACAGAGATTGTTCTCATCTTGCAGGGTGTACTAATTGGTCTGTACTCACTCTGCAGCAGATGTTTATTTTTCCACCTTTAATATATATAAAACCCAGGCTGGGAATTCAGCTCAGAGGCATCACACCTACCTAGCAAGTGCAAGGTCTTTAGTTCAATCTCTAGTACCAAAAAATAAAAATAAAACCTTTGAAGCCTAAACCCACCATCCCTCCCCTTGGAGACAAAAATGTCCCTTCCACATGAACTGTGCCTGGGGCTTTGTGTGGTGCCTATGCCCCAGGCCAAAACACATCCTACCTCCTCTACCTGCTCTGCCCCACCAACAGCTCCAGAGACCCCAGTGACCTGCTTCACCCTAGCAACAGCAACCACCAGTAAGAATCTGATGGGAAGAAGTCTGCTGCACCCAGACCCTCTCCCCAGACCTGGACTATAGTATCTCAAGTTCCCCGCTCCTCCTCTCCAGTAACAGCCTGCTTCCTCTTCCATTTGGGGCTGCCTCCTGGACTCATGACCATGTGTATGGAGACAAGAAACTTTCCCTTTAAATTTTTCTGCAGCTGGTTATATTGTTGGTTTCATCATGGGTCTTTTCTACTCCTGAGACACATCAATGGGAGTGGAATAAACCTCTCCTTTTTGAGGTCTGTCTCCCACAGAATTGAACTAGTGGTTTGTCCCCAGCCTGCACACCACCTCTTCCCAGCAACCATGAGCAGTGACTAAAAGTTATCTTCTTACTGTTGGGGGTGCCCTTGTCTCAGTCAGATCTGTAAGTCCTGGTGCTGGGCCTAACCTTCAGACACTGGGCCTGGGGACAAACAAAATTGCTGGATGCAGCTGTTTGTCTTCCCTCACATTCTCAGTGTCTGCTTCCTACAATGGGGACACCTGTCCCCCTGGGTGAGCCTTCTGTTCCTCTTAGGCACACCTCAGGTAATCAAGACATGGGCTCCCCTCAGCACTCCCCTGGGGTGCCTTCTGGCCACTCTGTCTACCATGGACCTAAAGGGATTATATAAAGCCCAAAAATTAATCCTTAATAACTTCCTCCATCACTTGAGAAAGTTGAAGAGGTTTTTATTTAGACCTTCTGTCCTTTGTTCTTACCATTCCCTTTATGTGGCTTGTCTCCCCTTTTATCTCTTTATAGCCTTTTCAAGTCTATGTTTCTTTTTATCTCCTTATCAGGCTTTGGCTCCATACAACCCCAACCCTGACCCACTGGACCAGCCCTCCACCCAGAAGGCTCCATCTTGGCCCTCCCCCAGCCTCCCGTTCCCATCCCCCTTCCCCTCAGTTGGCTGAATCTGACCCAAGACATAGCCACAATCTCCCCTTCCTGATGTCAGTCCTCAGCCTCCTGTCACTTGCTCTTCCTGTCTTCAAGAGGCCAATGCCTCCACCCAGCCTGATTCCACCATATGGTTTGTTTCCTCTGTGAGTTCTCTGATGTACAGTGAGGGCTGCCTTATGATTGAATATTGTTACACTCTTTACATTCATATGGTTTCTCACCTTTGTGTATTCTCTGGTGTGTACTAAGGTTTGACTTCCTGTTAAAGGATTTTCCACATATATTACATTCATAGGGTTTCGCACCAGTATGAGTTCTCGTATGTTCAGTGAGGTTAGACTTACGATTAAAAGTTTTCCTGCATTCTTCACATGCATATGATTTGCCACCTGTGTGAATGCTCTGATGTACCCTGAGGTGTGAGTTAGAGTAGAAAGTCTTCCTACATTCTTCACATTCATATGGTTTCTCCCCTGTGTGAGTTCTCTGATGTATAATGAGGGATGCCTTATGGTAGAAAGTTTTCCCACATTGTTTACATTCAAATCGTTTCTCAGTTTCATGTGTTAACTGATGCCTGCTGAGGTGTGACTTCCTGTGAAAGGACTTCTCACATTCTTGACACTCATAGGGCTTCTCACCTGTATGAGTTTTCTGGTGCACAGTGAGATGTGCCCTACAGTAGAAAGCTTTCCTACATTCTTCACATGCATAAGGTTTGTTGCCTGTGTGACTTCTCTGATGCACAGTGAGAGATGACTTATGGAGAAAAGTTTTCTTACATTCTTCACATCCATATGGTTTCTTTCCTGTGTGAGTTCCCTGATGTACAGTGAGGGCTGCCTTATGATTGAATGTTTTGTTACACTCTTTACATTCATACGGTTTCTCACCTGTGTGTGTTCGCTGGTGTACACTGAGGTTTGACTTCCGGTTAAAGGATTTTCCACATA